TGGGAGAATGAGAAAACAGGAAAACAAACTCTGACTGAACAGAGAGGTCAGAGATTAGAAAGATTAACCCTACAAATGGGAGCAAATGCAGTGACTTTTTGACATTTCCTAAGTCTCTCCTAAAAAACCCATTCTGGGAAGAGACTGGTAATTCCCACAGAATGCAAGCGCCACCCACTGTCCTGACACCAAAGCACCACTGAGTTTGGGCTGCCCACACAGCTCAGGATAATTCCTCCCTGTATCTGATCCTCTCCACTTGCAACCTCCCTGGTTACCATCATCCCTTCAATGATTTCCATCAGGTGTACCAGTTCCTCTGCCTCACCACAGGCTTCATTTCCCTTCCCCAGCCTTCATCCTGCTCCCTCACCACACACCTCAACTCCACTTTTCTTTCCTACAATGCTCCTTCTCTTAAGTCTTTTCAGAGAATCCCAATCTCACCTGCCTCTTTCCCCATCACAGTGTACAGTGACATTCATATCACACTTAACTCACTGTCTCTCCAGCCACTGACCCTTCTCCTTTTACAGGTGGTGTCTGGAGTTTTAGTGGTACCTTGAGGAGACCATTTGTTACCTCATTTAGGAGTCTAGTAACAGCCAAAAACTTAAGATCACTACCTATCATTTCCTTTGTTAGCAATCACATTTGGTATGTGTGACCATGCTGCCTTTAAAATACTGTTCCCTTGCCTGCTAGAATCCTTTCCTTTTTTCCTTCTTTAGTATGTCCCTGGAGGATCCCTCCCTACATACTCCTCCCCAATACTTATTGCTCTAATCCCTGTTTCTGCATTAACTAACATAATCTGTAAATGCAAGCACAGCTACTCCCAGCTGAGGGCTCACAATTACACAAGACCTCTCTTCATCCATGCCAACTCAAACTTCACTCTACGTATCTCTCCTTACAGATGCTCATTCATCTCTTCATTCATGCACAGCACGACTAAAAATAAAGCTCTCAATCCTCCACTCTCCTCCAATTACACTTCTTGGAAACTGTGGCCAATATCATGATGGTCACTCAGACTTTCATTTAACCTTCACCTCAGACAACTCTTTAAAACTCACAACCAGATTAAACTAAACCTCGAACATTTTTTTGCATGCTCTGAGTGGTGAAGTCTGCCCAGTTCATCCACTTGGCTACAATTAATGCTCAGACTCATTACCTTAGGCCTCAAGACCTAAGGTCTCTTGCTTTCTCCCTGGGGCAGATCCATACACTCATGCACACAAGAGATGCTACAGACATACTGAAACCAACAGTAACTTCCTGTTGTAGCTAAACACAAGGTGACAATTGAAAAGTGACTTTCTTATCACTTCCTACTGCAATAGGCTGTGGCTGCTGTAAAAAAGGAACAGATTCCTACCATAGTAACTATCATTCATTCATGGTGCATCACACTGCAGATGCTCATGCCCTTCACATTCAATTTCTTTGGGAAGAAGGGGCTGCAGGGTGTGACCTATTTTTAGTTATCTGCAGTCTGTGTTAACTGAAGGTTTGGAAAAAGCAGAGACTGGGGTCAGATGTGGAATTCACACTGGACCTCAGTGCCCATGAAAACTTTGGCTGTGGAAAAGGCGAACAATTATTCTCAATGCCTTCTATAAATTAATTCTTCCATCCTCTTAGGCTCTTTTGGTGGCTGTATGTAAACCAAAAGCTTTTTGGGGTAGTGGGAGCTAGGAAGCTTAGCCAATATTCATCAAAATGAACCAAAATCCTGCTCTTTCAAATACAAAAACTCTTACAGAACCTGTATTTTGTAGTATTTAAGCATTTCATGCAATAGTAGTGTAAAAGGTTGCATATGAGTTTGTTCATTAAACCCTGAATGAAACCACATGTAGAAGGTATAGGGCAAATATATTCAGAAAACCTTGGAGGAATATTCTGTTATAAGTAAAAGAATTTACTTAGTACTTAGAAAGGGGGGGATGAAACAAAGAAGCTAAGAAAAGACTAATCAGTGATAGACTGGGAGTTTCTTACTAAGCAGCTGGTGCTGCCTGTTTGTCCTTGCTCTACACTGACATGCACACTGCAAAGAGAGGAGATACCAACCAGGGCCAAGAAGGAATTGATAAGAGGAATGGGCCCCAAGAAAGGAATTTAGCACCGGCTGGGCAAACAAAGTGAGATCCAAAAGACAATTAAAAACCTGCTGAAGTGAAACAAGGGAAGAAATAAATTAGGGTAGAAGCTGACAGCAGGATGTTATCATCTTATCTTGCCAGATGTGTAGAACACTAACCTTAGGATTGCTTTAGCTTATTAACACAAGGAATAGTAAAAAGCCTAACTGTAGAATAGATAATATAGGTAGAAAGTTAAAAGGTGTACGATAGGTTGGAGAACCTACACACGAAAGCATCGGGAAGGGAATCTCCAGCTCCAGGATCACGAGGAGTGGGAACAGAGTCCCTAACAATAACGGGAGCAGAGTCCCTAGCAACAACAACCGAAGAGCCACACGGAGCGGGAAATGGAAGAGTCTCAAACTGGGGGCTGTGGGGAAGGGTTTGCGCCGTTGGCGGAGCAGAGACTCCTCGGCTGCCCCGCGCTGTTTGGCTTGCTGGAACCTTGCTTAATTAATAAATTTCCTAATTGAACTGGCTCCTGCCAATTTATTGGGCCGCAACTTATAGCAGTAGCAGACTGAAGATCATCGAATCGTAGAACCATCCTCCAAGATCAAGATAGGCCACTCTGCTGTAACCCCTAAACCAGATCCTCCAGCACCAGATCCAGATCCCTCTTAAACACTTTCAGGGATTGTGACTCCACCACCTCCCTGGGATGATGCAGGCTGACAACTCCACTTGAGCACAGTGCAAACAGACCTTAAGGGCTAGTGAAAGGGGTGAAGTGGCTACTTGGCAGACAATATAGTACTTGATTTTGGCAGGCCCATGAGGCAGCCTGGCCCTTCAAAAGAAAGGACAAGAAATAATCCGAAATGTTTGCTCCATTTACTATTAAAGAGCCTGTTTTACTTAAGAGCTCAGTCACTAAATGATCTCACTTGAATATGACTGTGAGAAATATAGTTAAGCTAAAGACAACAACTTACACAAAACCAACTTGTCAACCAAAACGTTGTGGTGTCCCTATCAGTGTCCAGAAGGGTATGACAACCCTCAACTTACCATCAGCTTTGCCCTCAACAATATCTAGCACCCATCAGAAGTATAAGCTGTAGCAGTACTCTCAAGACATTGACAAGGGGATCGTTATTTATTTTTAAATGAATGCACATAACCAGCTCCCACAGCAGTTCTGCTGAGTGGTAAAATGGTTCACAAGATGTGCCTGCCAGATTGCCACATCCAAACACAATCCAGCTGCTCAGAAGCTAATGACAGCTCTGTGAAGGTGATTTGGGGAAACAGCTTTTTCATTTAGCAGCTCATCCAACACCAACAAGAGCCTTACATTTTTCAACATGATTCTATGTCACGTTCCTCACTTATTTCTCCCTCCAGAACAACAGCCATAGGCTTGAGAAAGTCACAGAGCAAGCAATTCTTGTTTCCATTTCCTTATACTCAGCTGCATTTCTGCAACAGGACAACAAGTTCTACCAGCCTTTGATACACTGCATGACTTCCCACCTCAGCCCTCCAATACTGGTCTTGCCACACTAAGACTTTCAAATGATCATTGAGGCTGCTGCACCACACACTCAAGTGTGTATTATGCAGTGGCTTTATCTTTCTGAAGAAACACTTTTAGCCCCTTGGTAACATCATCACACTGTGCAGAGAACACAGAAAATTCAGTTTTGATACCAGGCCTAATGTTCTGTTTTACTACAGGAATAGGAGACAGAGGCAGCTCTTGTTGTCTGGGCCCCTCCTGCTGACACCAACTGAAGTAAGGGACCAGGACAGCTCTCCATGAACTCCTCCAACATGAGTCCTTCCCACAGACTACAGCTCTCCACCAGCATCCCCAAGTCCTTCTCATCAGGGCTGTTCTCCATCAGTTCAGCATCAGCCTGTATTGATACCAGGGGTTGTGTAGCTTCATTTTTCTCCATGGTTATCCATAATTTTCCCCCTTGAGAAAATGAACTGCAATCATGAACGTGACAGTTCTGTAACTAACTATGCCAAGAAATGTTACTGGTATGGCTGCGTCTGGCTAGGAATCCTATCCTGCAATCCAGCTGAAAAGTCTGGATAAGCAAATGCCTAGGGTGACCAGAAAACCCTGTAAGCACCTTTTCTGTATCAAAAGGACATCAATCAATCCCAGCTCACCACAAAATAATTAAATGGTTTCCCCAAAAAAATTATCCTATCTTTATTTTTCCCTTTAATCAATCAATGCCAATTCACCACTCAGAGCTAGCACTTCACTTTAATCTGCCTGGTAGAACAGCAGCACCATGGGATAGATCTCATAAACCTGTACCAAGACCAGCAGAGTATTTTTTCAGAAGACAGTTCAGGACTAATTCAGAAACAACTTTCTGTAACAAGTCCTCATTTTACAACCCCCAAACCCACAACAAGAAGCCAGGAAAAGCAATAACATGTCTACAGAGAAATGTCAGGTCTTCTAGGAAAGCATCAAAGTATTTTAACACACTGACAAGTATTAAAACTCATCTCAGCTCTGTTATACTTTGCATGAAAATGAGCTGGCTCAACCCTCTTTGATTATCCCATATAAAACCAGTGTGATTCTTTTAGCTAGCATTGCCATTAGAATTTGGCATTTTAAGTAACTTAAAAATTGTCACTGATACTTTTTCTCCAAATGGATGTGTGAGTCATGTGCCAGTGAAGACAATTATCTAGTGATTGGAAGTAGCCAGAAGGACAATCACAGTTAAAACAGGCAGAAGTAGTTTGAGAAAAAATGACACTTCAGCAGGGTCAGATTTGGTTTGGACCCAGAACAAATCAAGCTAAGCAGATCTGAGCACAAATTGACAAATATGCACACAAGAGTGCTCCAAAAGGCTTCTCTTGAACTAGGAAGTAGTTATCAGACTCAAACAACAGTCTGTCTCCTGCTATAATAAAGAATGCAAGGATGACAGTTTGTTCTGTTGAATAAAAATGCTTAATTAAGTTAATTTCAAAACCTGCCCCAAGCAAAATGATTTTCCGATCTATATTGCATTAAAATACCATAGAATCATCAAGGTTGGAGAAGACCTCTAGGATCAAGTCCAACCACTAACCTGCCACTGCTGGAACCCCTAAGCCATATTCTCCAGCACCAGATCCAGACACCTCTTAAACACTTCCAGGGATGGTGACTCCACCACCTCCCTGGGCAATATTCCAGTGCCTGAACACCCTAACAGGGAAAACATTTCTCCTAACATCCAATCTGACTCTCCTCTGTCTCAACTTATGACCATTCCCTCTAGCCCTCTCCCTGCAGCCCTGGCAGGAGAGACATCCTCCACCAATACAATACAAAAAACTTGAAGCAACATCTTGTGCTACCAGCCTAAGTGCTCCATTCTTTCATTGGAAAGAACTATCTGTTTCCTGGAAAAAAATGTGTTTACTTTCTACCTTTAGTGGTATCTGAAATGCTGTTTAGCATGGCACATATCATGTCTCCGTCGATGTGGTGAGGATTGAGGATGCAAGCTGATCGCTGGGTCATCTTAAACTGATTTTCCAGTTCCAGGAAGCTTTTGTCTCCAGAAAGTATAGTGAAAGGAATTTGCTTGGGCAGGTGC